TTTAAAAAAAGGATAAGTGATGCAAATGATATTTAAAGATATGATTTTTTCAAGTCCTTAAAAGAAACTTCTTATCACGTTATTTATATTTGTCAGTCATGCTATTAAAGAAAAAAAGCCAGTGCTTTTTTACCCCTAAATTGGAGGGGGAAAAGCTCTAAGTGGCTACACTGTCAAAAGATCGGTAAAGAAGTTGCCCCGATCACGCTAAACACGCGGCAACGTGCATAGCGGCAGGGGCAATCTAGGGACCAAGGATGGTCTCGCGCCCCTGCGGCCCTGCCGTAGAGGCTATCTAGGAAATTGCCCCTGCTTGCCTATACACATCACAATTTAGGTGGCAATAATTAAGGGTCATCCCCACCTTTACACCCTAGATTGGCGCTGCGGCAGGTGTGAGTAGCCCGCTTAAGAGAACCTGATTTGTTTTTATAAGACATAAGAACGCTGCTGTACTCACATTTCGCCAGCATGATGGACTACTCCCTATCGCATTAAGGATGTTACGTGCCTAAAATAGGGCATTATTAGGTTGAAATTATTTCTTTATCGAAATAATATAATTGTGAAAGTTTATATGTGATGTTTTATTGATTATTACTCCTCAACACTCATATGGCTGAACAGATTTGGATAGAAATTTACTACACAGATAGGTTTTGACCTTGGCTAACACTATGTAATGATATGTGACTACTGAATATATACATATTTATTCATTCCGCTCATCACCTACAATTTAGAGCTCCTCAAAAAAAATTCATATAGGGAATTAAAAGAGCCCTTAAAAGAAACTTGAAATTTTGACAATGTTGTGTTATGTATTTAAATAAATAAAATTATTATTTAACAATTTCATTTTATTTTTTTGTGTCACAATGGCTTACAAGTTACAGCAAACATGTGAGAGATTAACGTTGTAGCTGTTTCAAAACTCATAGTTATAACAATGTTTAATATCTAATCCTTACATTGTCGTAACACCTGCTTCTCAACTCTTCGATGCCTGTCGTTTTTCAATATGTGTCGCGATATCTGTGTCAATTAAGAGATTTTTATAAATAACGAGCGATTCACCCTCGCTCCGCTCGGGTTCGTCGGTTAAGGTTTAGTATAGATTTCTCAGAGATGAGATATTTTGCCGCAGTAAAAAGTATCCTATATGTTGACCCGGATAACCAGATATCATCATACCAAATTTCATCAAAATTTTTACAAAAATTGCTTTAGCCCACAATTTCTTCAGTTTTTGTCTTTTGGGAACAAATGATATGCATTTTCTTTGCATCCTGGTACAGCACAATTTGTTATTTTAATAGAATTTTAAATAAAATGGTAAAAATGCCATCCACGCTATAAAACTTACAATATCTGAGGGCCATAGTGGTCGTGACATCTGGCGGTAGAAGAAGACAAAATTCTTTGCAGAATTGTTTGCATGAATAGATAATAGATGTCGTTGATTTGCAAATAGTTTAACTGTTTTATTTTATATATATGTGCAACTAACGTATGGTAAATATTGTAAAATTCATTGTGCATTCGAATAAATAAGAAATCTGTAATTTTAACCATTTTTGCCCGTGAATAAACAATTCGTAAAAAGTAAAAGCGCCATCTGTGAACACACACTACAAACCCATCATCTGATTGCTGATATTTCAATAATCAGTAAAATTACGCAAATGGCGTATTATTTCTATTCCCTTCACTTGGAATATTTTTTTAAACAATAATATACCTTTTTCAGATCTAATTTTTGTTAATTTAACACAACTATAATAACGAATCGATATTTTACCTCATCTATTGACATTTTTTTGTACTAATTTTTCTATGTTCGTGATGAAACCCCATGGTATAACTATTTACAAATAATCTTTTCCAGGTAAACAACAAAAAATATTTCTATATTTTTTTTCTTTAGGTCTTTCGGTAGGTATTCAGTAAATCCCCCCCAACGTGCGTTCACCTTGACGTGGTGGGGGGGGCTCAGTAGTGCCCGGCAATCCAACCGGGCGCGAAGCTAAGAAACGCACAGGGAGGTTGCCCACTTCGGTGGGCGGTGGGAGGTGGCCCTCTTCGGGGGGCGGTGTACCATGCGGGTTGCTCCTGGTACTTCTCTGATAGCAGAGTGGACTGTGGAGCAACCCCATGGTTGTGGTGGTCTGCTTCGGCAGACCTGCCGTCAGGGCGTCGTAGTTGAATGCGTAAGCGATCCTGCGACGCCCCATTAAGACGGGGGAAGGTTTTGTTGGGTTTTAGTGGGTAGTACTGGCTGTATTACACCGGTGAGTCCCACACGTCGTGCGTAAATGCATTTCCCAACGTTAAAAAAAAAAAAGGTATTCAGTAAATACTTCATTACCTGAAGTGACTGTGTGTTCGTCACTAATTAATACTGTAACAACTCGATGGATTTGAGTGAAATTGGGAATAGAGATAGCTTGTCCTGTATGTATACATAAGTATGCCTATTTTCCTAATTCTTCTCCAAAACGGCTGGAACGATTTTGAAGAAATCGTTTAGTTACTTATAACACTGTAAGTACGCTAAAACACCTGAATTGTCCTATGTTGGTAGATTGCGTAGATGTCCATATCCAAGATATTTTTTCAGTTTTCCTATCAAATGAGGTTTGAGTCAGGGATTATGTCAATAAAACAGGCAAACTTAAACACATATTTTTTATTATTTAATAAAATTAAACTAAATTGAACGGTCCAAAAGCTTAAAATTACAATAATTTATTTTATATCCTATAATAACATTGGACACTAATTGTGCGTAACTCGCAATCCAAAAACGTGCACTTTATGTGTAATTGTTAAAGAAATGAGCTATGTAGTTGAAGTTATCAGTAGCTAACGTGTGAGTAAGATAGACTTAGTCTTAGTACCTTGTCTCTTTCTAGCATTCTTAGAATTCTCATTACATATTTTAAAAACTGAAGATATACAGAAAGAAAGAGATTTCTTTTTCTTTAGAATTCATTTTATCAATTTCTACCAATTTTAGTTATCAATAATGTATGAGCGAGACAAAGCGATAGTCCAATTACCTCTCTTTCTAGCATTCTTAAATTTCCTATTATATTATATTTTTGAAGGGCTAGATAAATATTATAAAAAAAACTATTAACCGGATATTTAGCCTCTCTTCCTAGAAATAGACAAAACAATCATTTATCAGTAATGTGTGAGCGAGACATCAATAGTTCAAATACGTTGTCTCTTTCTAGCTTTCCTAAATCCGAGAGAAAACAAATATAAGACCGGGATTGATAATATCTTTTTAATAGATTCAATTTTAGGCTTTTGTTATAAGTCCAAATACTATGTTTTTATTCCACTAACGTACAAGTACTGTTTTAACATTTATTTATTTAATTAAAATATATTTTTTATTTATTTAAAAAAAAGAACTACAACCCAAGAGGTTTATTGCCACTATATTAAACCTATCTTTATATTAATTCGTTTACCACATAATACTTTTAAGGGGAAAGAAGTTAGCGCTAAATGAAAAACTACAAATAAGTTTTAAAATATATAAAAATATCTAACAGCCATTTTGTCCAAAGTAGCTGTCAGAGGGTTAGGCTACTTTTGCGCTTTTTTTTTAATTTTGCTTTTCTGTATAGGGGGGAGGGGGTAGGGGTGAAATTTCAAGAGCCAATGAAAATCTGATTGTTATATTATCATATCTTTGTAATTATATTAAAAACGTTCATAATTGAAATTATTATAAGCATTATATGCTTTGGACGGTCCGTAAGCAAACAGATATATCTACAAAACTAATCTTCATATTATAAATGTGTGTATTGAGAAGGTGGAGAATACAAGAGGGACCAGGCCATAGTCCACCACGCTGGCCGAGTGCGGGCCGACTGAGCATGTCTTTCGAAAACTTGCTAGGTTCTCTCAGACATGCAGGTTTCCTCACGATGTTTTTCCTTCACCGTAAGGCAAGTGGTAATCATGTTGAAAATGATTCGCACATGAAAACATCAGAGGTGCGAGACCCAGGATTTGAACCCGCTTCACTCGGTTTCCCAAGCGAGCGCGTTACCACAGGGCTACTACTGCCTTATTTAAATATTTATTATAAATTAATATTTATTATTTATTTATTTTTCATTTTATTCACTTGCTGACATCAATGCGATTATAGACTTTAATAGTAATATTCTGTAAGAACTTTTATATAACTCGACACCTGAATCCGCGATTATACTTCATATAGTTGAATGAATCTGATCAAATGTGAAAGTATCGGTTAAATAAAACTATCTTTTTGGATTATTTCGCGGATTTATTTTGATTTTTGGTTCCCGACGTTTCGAATGCTTTACAGCAATCATGGTCACATTAAAAATCCGAAATGATACTTTTATTTAAAATGTCAAATATTCGCGTAAATCTAATAAAGTATTAGTACTACAGGTCTCTTATATCAAATCATTATAGATATGAAATAAAAAAAAATAAAAAAAAGGTTATATCATGTCCAGTTTCGGACTACTTTAAGTTAAAATTAAATATTTTAGAGCGTTTGCTTAGAGACCGTTTTATTTACAACCAATAAGAGAGATACAACATTTTTCCATAGAAGCTGGGAATAGGGAACCGCCATATTTATTTATTTTTTTTAAATGGCGGCGCACGATGAAACTTTAATAAATGGATAGAGGATATATATATATATATATATATATATATATATATATATATATATATATATATATATATATAGTATTGAAACTATTTTGGTTACTATATACTAATACTAGTAACACATTAAAAAATTAATTTTTAATCTATATTGTTATTTACATATGGCGATCTTTCCCTTCAAATATATCCAAAACGTGACACTTTAGAACATTATTTTTGACACTTTTATATTCATTCAAGCGTCTTCTATCTATAAAAACTCGTTTCATACTGCGCTGCAATTTAAAAAAAAATGGCGGAGTGTAATTTTATCAGTTTTAAAGTTTACAGTGTGCTCCTTTCCTTGGTATGTTATTGAAGGGTGTTGGATGAGGATATAACCGCCGTCTAGATTTAAACTCCACGAGATCTTGAATAACGACCGGCTGTAAAAAAGTATTATAATATATGAAATGATAACGCCTCAACGTAAGATTTTATCAATTAATTTAAAAACAAAATATTCGCATTGTTATCTGTGCATTCGGTTAGCCATATTTAAAACTAGCGACTCACTTTTGCTTCGCTCGGGTTCGTCCCTAAGTTGATTCCCCATACAAACTTTCACCCTCTTATGGGATAATTTCCGGGATAAAAACTATCCTAAGTCCTTCCCAGGGTTTCAAACTATCTTCTTACCAAATTTCATCTAAATCGGTTCAGTAGTTTCGTAGCTTATTCGGTACAAACAAACAAACAAAAAAACGTTTAATATTTATAATATTAGTATAGATAGGTTTGTGTCATCCATAGACGTGGAGAATGGACTGAGCAATACTCTCATGAAATTGACCACTGTTTAGAAAGAGAAAAAGCGAACGTGCGGCCAATACCTGTCTTTTATTCAAATTTGAATTTATTACTAGAATGTAAAGAAATTATAATATTATTGAAAATTATAATATTACTAGCAAAACCCGCGGCTTCGCTCGCGCTAAAACTACAAAAAAACTAAAATGGTAGGTTTCATACAAACTTTCATCCGCAATTTTACTCCCTTAAGGGATGAATTTTGAAAAATTCTAAAACACGTATTTAATTAATTGTATTAAAGAGCATATATATCAAATTTCAAGTAATTCTAATCATTTTTTTTTAGATTATATTGCATTATAACGTGGGAATGAGATGATCTCCCGCGGTAAAAAGTAGCCTGTCACTCTCCAACCCTCCAACTATCTCCACACACAAAAAAATCACGTATTAATGCACGTATCAATACAAATAAATAAACACGTGTTTTAGCATTTTTCGAAATTCAAAATAGAGGATGAAAATTTGTATGACATCTAGGTATCTTTTTAGAGACTTTTTTTGTAGTTTAAGCCGCGGTTTCTGCTAGTGTAATACAATATTACTATATACAAACCTCCAGTTTCTTTTCTTTGTTATTTGAAGACTCGTCTTGCTTCCCGGCACCACCTTCTGCTGTCGACACTATATATATTGATAGCTTCTGCCTTTCTTTTGAATTTGGACTTACGTGTTTCTAAATAAAAAAAAAGAAGTAGATTATACACTTTCTAGAAAGTAATTTTAAAATATTACTAACTAACAGCTCACCCTCGCTTCGCTCGGGTTCGCCTCTAGGAAAACAAAAACAAACCTATCCCACGGGATATGTACATGTTTCCGGGATAAAAAGTAGCCTATGTGTTATTCCAGACTATCATCTATATCTGTGCCAAAATTTTATCCAGATCCGTTCAGCCGTTCTGGCGTGAAAGACTAACAAACATCCATACATCCAAACTTTCGCATTTATAATATTTGTAGGATAAAAACAAATAAATAAGACTTCATTCATAATATATACATACACGTTTTAATGTTTAGTATAGATTTCTCATAGATGAGATATTATCCCGCAGTAAAAAGTATTCTATATGTTGACCCGGATAACCAACTATCATCATACCAAATTTCATCAAAATCTGTCCAGTGGTTTTCTCGTGATGCGTTCCCAAGACAGACAGACAGACGGAAATTCTAAAAACAATATATTCGGACTATTTCAATAAGATATTACAAAAAATATTTAATGTACAGATTCGACTCAGAATTTAATTATATGTATATATTTAGTGGGTATGAATTAAATGTACAGAAACATACAAATAACATTTACCTTAAAGAAATCCACTAATTCCTCTTTAGTGACTGTATTTAATTCATCCACTTCCACTCGCGGTCGGTCGAAGTTGTAGACCTGAGAGAAAAAAAATTAAAAAAATAAAAAAAATAAAAAAATATCAATATACCTGTGAATATTTAAAAAAAAACTTAATCTTTAACATAAGAAATTATGTCTTTGCGAGGAACCCTAATTCTTATTCTAAAACAAAAGTAGCCTATGTTACTCCCTATAACATCAGCTATCTTCCAGTGAAAGTTCCGTCAAAATCAGTCCAGCCGTTTCAGAGATTATCCGGAACAAACAGACAAACACACATACAAAAATTAAAAAAAAAAGTATATTTCTTATAAATACGATATATAATTTCATATGCATTTATATATTATATTTAGTAAATAACAGCTATTTAGCTGTTATTTTGACATTACAAACAGACACTTCAATTTTATTTATCTGTGATGTTCTCCTGGTCGATTCCGACCACGGCGGCCAATCTCATTGAGACTAGCCAACTGTACAGGAAATATTATAGTGCACAAGTGTACGCGCAGACACAACGTGCACTCTCTATTCCTGTCACTATCATACTCCGGTGGGACGACGCGAGACACGACCGGTGAGAGTGTCGGCGCAGGACCGACGGCTTTACGTGCTCTCCGAGGCACGGGGGTGAAACACCGCCAACTTCCCAACTCCGGGCTGTTACTGAGACTTAGTATACAGAAAGACTCAATAACTAAACTTGGCCCGACCCGGGACTCGAACCCAGGACCTCCGAGTGTGCAGCCGTACATGCTATCCACTACACCACCGAGGCAGTTAATTACATTTATCTGTATCTAAGATGTATATATTACCTGTGCAGCAATCTCACCCCACAGTTGGGAAGCCTTGTTGGCGAGTCGTTTGGGACGTTCCAGTTTCTGGGCGGCTACGGCCGACCGATGCTTTAAGAATTCCTCCTCGGACATGTTCTCCAAATATTCCTGTGGTAATAAAAAAAGTTATTAGTAATATTTAGAGGGGAAAATTACATTATATTCGACGTCACGTTTGACTCAGTTTGTAGTGACCTTATACTTGATACTTGCTGTGCCAGCGGTCGTGGATTCGAGTCCCGCTGGGGCATTCATTTGTGTGATGAGCACGAATATTTGTACACCAGTGTATAACACCCCTGTGTTTACTGTTTATATTTATAATATGTATGTATTTAAAGTTATATATGTGTAGTGTATCGACTATCTGGTATCCATAACACAAGCCTCGTAACTTACCATGGAACTAGATGGTGCTTATGTTAATGTCCTAACATTAAAAATAATAAAAAAAAATATATATCTCCAAGCCTGAGTAAAATTATAAGGGTTCCGATTTTTTTACGAAACTCCAAAAAACACGGTATTAATTCAAGTATAATCGAACCTGTGACCCTTCTATGAAGCTCTCAATCCTCTCCTCCAGATAGGCTGGATGTCTGTCGCTTTGCACAATAATCCTTAGCCCTTGAACGCCGTTGGATCTTCTGACACCACTAAATACGATGTAACCTAATTGTTCCTGAAAAAATAAAATCAATTTTAAAATACATAAATACCAAATAATATTTTCGAAAAAAAAAAATTATAGAATATTATATACAGAAAGAATATAATAATTAATATTATATATCATTTGTCAGACAATAACAACGGTTACCATGGCAACAAACCAGCTAACTTCATCGTGCCGCTTTTTGGCTGTCGGTGTGCGCGCTCATCATAAAAATGTTACTCACAATTTGTTCCAAGCATCCCAAAAGAATTTAAAAAAATGAATACATTTCTCATTCCTCACACATCCAGATACGAACCTGTGTCCTCAGAACATGAAAGCACGGCTCGCTGAGCGCATGCGCGAGCAGCTCCAGCAGCACGTTGGCGCGCGTCCGCCGCACGCCGCACGCGTAGTACAGCGACGCGCACGACGACTTGTGCACCGTGTTCTCCGTCTCACGGAGGTACCATGCACCTGTTGTGGGGGGAGAGGATTTGAAAATAAATAAATGAATGAATGAACGAATGTATGAATGAGTGAATGAATAAATAAAGGAATGAATCAATAAATGAATGAATTAATAAAGGAATAAATCAATGAATTAATTAATTATTCAATTAAAGAATGAATAAATAAATAAATAAACACTTTATTAAACTTATATAAGACAATAGATTACAAACATTAGATGTATAAAATATTTTTTTTACTAGTCTCTGTGATAGAAAAAGCTGTATTACAGAGAGGAGTGCCTTCCATCTAAGATAATTTCGATTTTTAATTTACAATTGTAATTGCGGTTATAAAAAAAAGTATTTAGATAATATATTAAGAAAGTTAAGAAGAAACTAAATAATGAAATTAAAACAAATCCAAAACCAAAAATATAAATCAAAAGGAAGCTTCAAACATCATCTTGAGTGGGGTATACAATATACATGTTTCATACGAATATTTGACTGTGTATATATTGTAATTATAGATGGCGCTACTAGTATATGATGTGCAGAAGAATTTTAAAATTTTAATAATTAAATTGTATATTAATCAACACTTAGTTTCTTAAAACATTTCATGTAATAGACATTATTTTTAACTGAAATATTAAGGCAAATTAAAAAAAAAAATTTTTTTATTCCCAAATAAAATTTATATCAGACCACACTCGAGTTAAACGCTAACAAGCCAAAATGACATTTAGTTGACATGTGACATTGACAGAACGTATCAAATCCTTTTTATTTCTTCTCCATTCTACGTGACATTGGCAGAAGTAATCTGTGCTCGACTGGCACGATTCGAAGCATATAACAAGATATTTGAATGGAATATACTTGCAGCGCCACCACATGGCAAAAACACACAATTTGGCCTTCCATTATTGCCATGAAATTATTTACATGCGACAGTCAACAAAGTAGCATCGTGTTTTAGAGTGTTTGCTTACCTTTTTCCATTTCAACCTCTCGATACAATAATAGTTGCTGAGCTAATAACGGTGTAGCATCTTTTGGTAATCTGAAATATAAAATTATATATAGTAAAAAACAATTTTAAAACAAGTTTTCATTTTAATGCCCTAAAAATAAGTCAACCCTGGAGGCAGCCGCCAAGTCATGATAGAACAAGCTATAATAAATTAAAAGGTATACAAAATCTCGTCTGTACTGTTAGCCGTTGGATTTGTCTCGTCTGGAGTCAAGATAGAGAATCCGGCCATAATTATCATAACAAATCATTGCCATCGAAACTGAATCACCGTAACAAATTATAACTCAGTATGATATGATGAAGCGATTCTAATTCAGCTGGCAAGATTTGACCCATACAAACATACCAACAAACAAACATTGCAAGTATAATCTCTATACATATAATAAAATTGTAACTAAGCCGAACCTGTACATTAAATATTTTTTGGAAAATCTTATTAAAGTAGACATTATCGATGCAGAGACCGAATCTATCTATCTGTCTGTTACCGCATCACGGAAAAATCACTGGAGGGATTTTGATGAAATTTGGTATGGTGATAGCTGGTTATCCGGGTCAACATAATATAGGATACTTTTCATTGTGGGAAAATATTTGATCTCTGAGAAATCTATACTAAATGTTAAAATGTAAGCAGGGACGAACCCGAGCGGAGCGAAGGTGAGTCGCTAGTCTTAAATAACAATGTGAAAAAGACATTTTAATTTGACAAAAAATCTGTCAATCACACACACACACGCACTCACACACGTACACACACGCACTCACACACGCACACACACACGCACACACACACACAATCAGTTTAATACTAAAACACTTACTTATTTTCAATGGTATCAGCAACAGCTAACGCCCTCTCCCTCGTGATGTTCCCAAACATTAGCCCTTCAACATGCACTTTGCGAACCAAACGAGCGGTGAATTCGTTCAACTGTTCCGCGGTTACACCTGTTAAAGTACAAATATATATAAGATTTTTCTTAGATTTACGCGAATATATGACATTTTAAATCAAATTATCTTGTCGTAAAGATATTTGTCACTGTGAGGACTAAGATGATATGCCTCTTGCCTGTAATTGCGCTGGCTACTTTATCCTTCAAACCGGAACACAACAATGTAATCATTATGACGACATATTTGGCTCAGTTTGTAGTGACCCTACTTGCTGTGCCAGCGGTCGCGGGTTCGAGTCCCGCTGGGGGCATTCATTTGTGTGACGATCAATGTTTGTACTACAGTCATGGGTGTTTATATTTATAATATGTATGTACTTAAAGTTATATATGTGTAGTGTATCAACTATCTGGTATCCATAACACAAGTCTTATAACTCACTATGGAATTAGACGGTTCTGTGTGTTAATGTACCAACATATTTATTATTATTGTAGCTCGAATTTTCGACAGACACGTGAAGTCCGCCAACCCGCACTTGTCCAGCGTGGTGGACTACGACTTATTCCCACTCGTATCGGAGGGAGACCCACGCCCAGCAGTGGGACGTTAAAAAGGACTGAATACATACATACATACATTGTTGCTTGGCAGGAGAAATAGATAAGAGGGTGGTATCGCTTCAGTCGGACTTCTCAGGCTTGACCACCTACCACCGGTTAATTGTATTCTTTGAAGCTTTGCCCAGTGATTGTCCTATAATGTAACATTGTATATCTATAAATAACACTTACTTTCCGCCGCATTTAAAAGCTGACATCTTGTCCAAACGAGGTCCGACAGACACAAAGCTTGCTGATACACTGCATGCTGTTCAAAAATGGAAACAGAAATAATTTATTTATGATCAACACTAATATGTACAAAAAAACACCTTTTAACACCTCCAGGTAAATTTCTAAGAAATTAATAAAATTTCTAAGATATCTATTGTTAACTGTAACGCCGGCGTGTCCGCGGTCGTTGAGGGATTATTGGATGTTATTATTTTTAAATAAAACTATCTTTTCGGATTATTTCGCGGATTTATTTTGATGTTTGTTTCCCGACGTTTCGAATGCTTCACAGCGCACATGGTCACGGGAGATACTAAGGTTTTAGACGTCTCAAAGGTTACGCTTAGGTATATGCTTGTTATATACTTGTTACAGACAGTGCCTACCTACAAAATTACACGATTATTTTCAAAAATACATTTGACAATCAGCGAAAAAATCCGAAAAGGTAGTTTTATTTAAAATGTCAAATATTAGCGATATGCGCATAGCAATGACTCTCTCCCGTGACCATGATTGCTGTAAAGCATTCGAAACGTCGGGAACTAAAAATACAAATAAATTCGCGAAAAAATCCGAAAAGATAATTTTATTTAAAATGTATATGCAATTAAAAATGTGGTAAATATGTTATCATTGTCATTGTTTTTAAATAAATTGAGTTTATAACTTTTTAAATGAAGAGGTTTTTTCTAATTTATATCATTTATATTCATACTAGCAAAATCCGCGGCTTCGCCCGCGTTCGTCGCGTTGAAAATACAAAAAAACAAACTCTTCTTTCCCTATCCTTTACAATAATGTATGGAAGTCTGTCCGATTTGTTTACATTTATGATTACTACTCCGCTCTCTTGGTTATATCACGATGATATAAAGCCTATAGCCTTCCTCAATAAACGGGCTATATAAACCAAAAAGAATTTTTCAAATCGGATTAGTAATTCTTGAGATCAACGCGTTCAAACAAACACAAACAAACAAACCGACTAACTCTGCCTCTTTATAATATTAGTATATTATAATAGATTTTTGTGGACTAGGGCCTGAAGGGAGACCGCTCCCAGCAGTGGGACGTTATAAAAAAGCTGAATGCTTGTTAAAATTTATTTTGATGATGATTTAAATTTTCGTCCACGACTGTACGTGGCCGCCATTTTGGGTCTGTCGTCACTCACCTGATAAGGCTGTTCCGCCTCAAAGTTCTTGATCCCACGTATGTGACTCTCTTTCATTATTTCAAAACGTTTTGGATCCGCTTTAAAATTCACAATGTGGTCAATTATTTTCTCTAATAAAACGTGCTGTTTGTCATCGTAACCGTCTACCGTTATCTGAAAGTTTCATAGGAACCAGTTTAGTATTTTTTTTTGTATAATTTCACGCTATTTCCAAGTCATTTTTCTGATCAGTCAAATGAACATGTTATTTTTAAATAAATAAGAAATCAAAGGTAGCATTTTTAATAAATTGATACATATATTTTTTTAAGTTATTATAAAATCTTTGTAAGTAACATTTTTTTATAATTTATCATGCCGAAATCGAATGGTCGACACTTTAGTAATATTATTTGCCCAAAAGATGGCGCTGCCTGAATATAATATTGTAAATATAAATGGCACCTAAGAACCCATCCGAGCGAAACGAGGTTACTTAGAAATAATATTAAAAATTAGTATATTTCTATATATATATATATATATATATATATATATATATATATATATATATATATATATATATATACTTAGAAATAATATTAAAAATTAGTATTACATTAAATAATTCCTTTTTGACGTTTTATTTCTTCTTGATTTCTTCCTTAATCTTTTAGTCTAAGCTTCAACTGAATATAAAATAGGCTAAGCCAACAAACTCGCCCCAAAACATATTTAACATTATCATATACACTATCTAAATTCCACTAATCTTTATAATAAATCAAACAACGCTAAATTAGCCAAATCAAATCCGTCTAAGTCAAACATGTCTAAGTATACTAAAAAATTTTGATTTCTTGCACTTAGACAATTTTGAGTTAGACCGACTGAAACAAAAACTCACACTAAGTCCATATTTAGCATTCCCCACACTCCACCTGAGTCCAGCTAACTCCGCGGCATACGCGAACTGTTGCAGGGAATCCCGGAGGAGCAACACCCATATGGATGTTAGATTGCAGTTCACGGGATCCGAGTATGCTAGAGGGCTGGAGATAAAATTATTTAAGTTATTACTCACATTGCCCGGTAAAACCTACGAAAAGTTTTAATGGTAAAAGTTGATAATGTTGAATGAATTCAAATTGAAATTCAAAATATTTTATTCAGCATTAAATTATTACAGTTTTTCACTGAACGTCATGAGTCTACTACCTAGTTCGGAAGGAAGAAGCCTCAGACCTGAGGAGAACTGGCGAAAGAAACTCAGCTATGTCACCTGAACTATTTAATTCATTTTATCCCTCTCACAGTCCCGTGGAAAGGCTCTAATAATCGCTTATAGATCAACACGAGAGTGTAAGAATAACTTTCCGTAAACAATATTTTTTTACACAACCCGAGACTCGAACCTGTGACCTTGAGATCGGCAGCCATACCCACTAACAATTTGACCATATCAAAATAATTAAATATTATTATGGCGCATTTAAAAAAAAGTTTCGTAAAAGTTTAAGTTTAGCGTATAAAGTTTTTTCCTTATAATAAAAAAACACACACACACACACAATAATAAAAAAACTAGCCAAGTACGAGTCGAAGTCTACTAAGTTTAAAAACACATTTTTGACTTTTCTAATCCGACTTACACTTGGCTAGTTATTTATATTATTTTTTTTTAATAAATACATCCTTACCTAACTAAATCTAACGTGACGAAGGCTTTAGGCAGTAGAAATTCGTTGTCTCTTTTGTACCACAGTCTCATGAGAGGTGTGTCCTGAAACAAATGAGATAAATATATATACCTATTATCTACTCATATACTATACTAAGAACCTGGGCTACCGAGCTTCGCTCGGAGCTTTTGGCCAAAAAAAAGTATTAAACAAAAACAAACTGAAAATTTGAATAAATACAAAAAAAAAACAAAAGTAAAAACTTTGTATCCGACCGGGATACGAACCCAGACACCTGTGGCGACCATATTTTGCGTGGAATAATGCGAAACAAAATCGCATGAAATCTCGAAAACACGCGTTTTCCCAGACATACAACTAATCTAGACTTTCCGAGATTCAGATTATATATATACACAAGAATTGCTCATTTAAATATATTAGATATATTTCTATACATAAAAAATTGTAACTTTTGGAAAACATTATTGAAATAGACCTTATTATCGATACAGAGGCCGAACCTATAGTTTTTAGAATTTTTGTCTGTCCGTCTGTGACCACATCACAGAAAAAACCTTCATGAGGTAATTTTCAACGAAGTGACAACTCGCCCGATCTACACCTCTATGGGAAGCTTTCCCTAGCTGACCCATGGATTGAATAAAGGTTTTAGATTCATGGGAAAATATCCCGTAATAATTTTCTATAAAAAAACACATCGAGACGATGGGTATGTGATAAATGTAAAGTTATATTTAGTTGCTGTAAAGCATTCTAAACGTCGGGACACGAAATCTATACCTACTAACATTAGAAAGAGGTAAAGTTTGTGAGTTTATAACGTTGTAGGAGGTTTAGATGAAATTTGGTAAGCAGATAGTTGGAGACCCTGGGAAGGACATAGGATACTTTTTATCCCGGAAATCATTCCTTAAGGGAATGAAAATGGGGATGAAAGTCTGTATTGGGAAACAAGCTAGGGATGAACCCAAGCGAAGCGAGGGCGAGTCGCTAGCTCAAAATAAATTCGCGAAACAATCGAAAAGATAGTTCTATTTGAACTGTTTTAAAATGTATAATTTGTTTAGTTCGTAATAACAAACTTGAGCTACAATGGACCAAAACTGGTCGACGTAGCTAGGGCCGACCTCGGCACCACACCCAACACAATAATAATAATAATAACAAACTTACCTTAATAATGGCTGGTGCGATGGATTCAGACGTTGGGTCCTTACTGTTTTCCAGCTCCAGCTTAGAAGGAATAAACTCATTGGGCAAAGGCAGATGGAGGTCGGGATTGGGTTTCACCGATTTCCATTTCTGAAAAAAAAAACAATTTAACTATAATACATATATTTTATAGAAAAAACTAACAGGAATTAACCTACTTTAAAATAGTGAAATTTCATTTACTGTTGTAACACTTAGTAACAAACCCCCCCCCCCCTCCCCCTTTTTTTCTAACTGCGAGATGCATTGATGCACAAAAAAAATATAAATTACATATTGTATTGTCATCGGTTCTTGTTAAATGTGCAAGTGTCAGTTAAATCTAAAGTTTTGTAATAAGTGAAAATCGCGTTCGAAAATTCCGTTACATATATAGATTACAGGTGATGCTAATAAAAGCGTGTTAAAAATCGATATGTGTTCTCTATAGACTCCAAAACGGCTGGAGTGATTTTGATGAAATTTGACATGATGATAGCTGGCTATCCGGATCAACATATAGGATACTTTTTACCGCGGGAAAATATCTCATCTCAGAGAAATCTATACTAAACGTTTAAACGTAAAGTCGCCAGTTTTTTGTATAATAAAAAAGTGATATAACGAGAAAATTAATGTTATTGTGAAAAAAGAGTTTTGTAAAATATTTTTATTATAACTCTACTTTTAGAAATCGTACCATTGGAATATCTATAGCAACTGATATCTGCATACTGATACTATCAGAACCCGCGGCTTCGCTCTCGCTAAAACTACAAATAATCTATAATAATTTAATTTCATACAAAGCTTCATCCCCTATTTTACCCTCTTATAGGATGAATTTCGAAAAATGTTAAAAAACACGTATTTCTTTAATTTTATTGAAGAGCATTAATACCAAGTGTCAAGTAATTCTGATCAAAAATTTTTTTTGAATTGTATTATAATGTGAATTAGATGTTCTCCCGCGGTAAAAAGTAGCCTATGTCACCCTCCAGCCCTCCAACTATCTCCACACAAAAAAATCACGCCAACCCGTCACTCCGTTTCAACGTGAAAGAAGGACAAACAAACAAACAAACAAACACTTTCACATTTATATTATTAGTATAGTAGATTATACATTATTATAGATGCATACATTAAGTTTCTCTTCTGCGATATCCTCTTGCAAATACTTAGTGCCGTACCACGGTTCTGTCTGTGTGCATTTCTTTTCGAAACATCTGAAATAATAACAGAACAATTAACAAAAAAAAACATTTAAAGACTTTAATATATCTTTATTTTTAATATTTTTAAAGCTGAAACGACAGACGTCCTGTTAAAATTATAATAAACTAGCGCTCACATTCGCTTCGCTCGGGTTCACTTCTAGGAAAACAAGAACAAACCTATCCCACGGGAACCGTTCATTTTTCCGGGATAAGAATTAGCCTATGTGTTATGGTGATGTTCATACATCAACATTATTGTAAAGTTTCATTAAAATCCATTCAGTAGTTTTTGCGTGAAAGGAAATCTCACAAACTTTCGCAATTATAATATTAGTATGGATTTATTTGTGTTGTTTGAATTATAAAAAAAAACCATAGGAAAAAAACTCTTTTTAAGTTCTCTCAGCAATATTTTCCCTAAAATCCTAATTCATACTACATACAAGGAACATTTTTAAAACAACATTATCAAAATCAGCGCAGCCGTTCTCAAATTTTGCGCTTACCAACGAATTGCATTTCATTTTTATGATATACCAGCGACTGTCGCTCGCTTTGCGTTGGGTGCGTCCCCAGTACGCGAATTTTATTCACAATTTCATAGTTTTTAATTTTTTTTTGAGAAGCATATGTATTTTTCTAAAATAAAAGTAGCCCAAGTTACTCCTTATAACATCGTCCATCTGCCTGTGAAAGTCCCGTCAAAAGCGGTCCAGCCGTTACGGAAATTAACCAGAACAAATACATACATACATTACATACTTACCTACCTCGTTACTACAATATACATACAACAATTTATTTTGCCTCTTTATAGTATTTTACTCAGCTCTTTTCAACGTCCCACTTCTGGGCGTGGGCCTCCCTACAGTACGATGGGGATCAGGCCATAGTCCACCACGCTGGCCAAGTGCGGGCGGACTGAGCATGTCTTTCGAATACTTGCTAGGTTATCTCAGACATGCAGGTTTCCTCACAATGTTTTCCTTCACCGTAAGACAAGTGGTTATCATGTCGGACATGATTCGCATATGAGAATATCACAGGTACGAGACCGGGATTTGAACCCGCTCCACTCGGTTTAGCAAGCGAGCACATCACTCCTGGGCATATTTTTTGGAAATTCTTATTGAAATAATCATTATTATCAATACAAATACCGAATCTATTGTTTTTAGAATGTTTGTCTCTGTCTATCTGTGACCACATCACGAGAAAACCACTAGACAGATTTTGATGAAATTTGGAATGATGATAGCTGGTCATCCGGGTCAACATATAGGATACTTTTTACTGCTGAAAAATATCTCATCTCTGAGAAATCTATACTAAACGTTAATATATTCTCACTTACTTAGCGACCACACCAACTCTAACGTTATCGGGGGTCAGAAGTGATAACAGCTCGTCTATTAAGTCCGGCCTCCAATCAGTAATTAAATAGTATGCGCTCAATATATCTTCCATTGGGAATTCCTGAAACAAAAGATATATCAATAATAGATATGTCAATCAATCAAATCAAAATATTTTATTCAGCATTAAATTATTACAATTTTTTACTGAACGTCATGAGTCTACTACCAGTTCGGAAAGAAGAAGCCTGAGACCTGAGAAGAACTGGCGAAAGAAACTCAGCGGGACCAATATCTTTTCTTAAAGTATAATCTGTTTTTAAAGTAAAATTATAATTTACAATATTTCTATCAAGTTGAAGTAGGCGATTATTTCATTCTCAAGGTGTGCCATCTTCTATAAAATCATTTATTGTATAATAGCCTTTAGCACACAAACGTTTTTAACCATTTTTTTTGAATTTGGCGATAGAAGCCTTTTGATCATTTTCTGGGATCCTGTTGTACAAGCGTATACATATGGATTTGGTTAATTACTTAACAATTTTAGGGTTCCGTACAATAAAAAGGAAAAAAATCGTTACAGGATTATTTCGTTGTATGTCTGTATGTCAAGACCCTTTTTTCTCAGAAAAACGTGTAGGTGTCGAGTTGAAATTAATATCAAATACTCAATTTTGCAATACCTTGGAGTTGTGCCAAAATCAAACTTCCTCGAACCCGCGACCGCTGGCACAGCAAGTAGGATCACTACAAACTGAGCCAGACGTATCAATATATCGTATATTACCTGTAACAAATGCACGTGTCCAGTAACAAGAGCACGAGGGCATTGCGCGTCTTTGAAGCGGAACTCCATCGCCATCAAATCCCTTTGCTCTTCCCACACCCAGCGCTGGGCGCCTTCGGCTTTCAACAACGCTATATACTGAAAGAAGGTATTATTTTTAACATACTTTTATTAGTTTCACTTATAAGGCCCAGTGGTAACGCGATTAATATTAAAACCGATTGAAGCAGGTTCAAAGCCCGGGTTTCACAACTCTTATATATTCACTAGCATTACCCGCGGCTCCGCCCGCGATCATATAGCCAAAAACCAAATTCTTAGGTTTTACATATTAGTATACTCTTACATTGCAGTTTTTGTATTTTTTCTCAGAAATGTGATATTTTCCCGCGGTAAAAAAAAATCTAAAAACTATAGATTCGACCTTTGTATTGATAATTATGTCTATTTCAATAAGATTTTCCAAAAAATTTTAAATGTACAGATTCGGCTCAGTTACAATTTTATTATATGTATAGATGTGCGAATCATTTCCAACATGATTACCACTTGTCTTACAGTGAAAGAAGATATCGTGAGCAAACCTGCATGTCTGAGAGAAACTAGCGAGTCCTTGAGAGTCATGCTCAGTCCGCCCGCACTTGGCCAACTTGGCAGACTATGGCCTGATCCCCCTCGTGTTGAAGGGAGGCCCACGCCCAGCTGTGGGACGTTGAAAGGGCTAGAAAGCGCGTTACCACTGGGCTACCACTGCCTACATAAAAACATAACTCGGGTAAATCTAACAAAATATTATTAGTAAAAACTGACAGTACCTGAAACACCAATTCCACTATATCATCAATATGCTCCACGCCCGCTTCCGTCAGATCAACTTGCACGCCGAAAAACGCAAACCCTCTCGCACCTATCCGAGTTCCTCCGATGAGACTGTGAAAAAGTATTTTTCTAGAACATCTAAATGGGCATTTTTTTTAAAGTGTTTAAAACTATCCAGGATACTTGTTCTCAAAAAAAAATAAGGAGTGCGTGTGTGTGCAATTCACACACGGTAGAAATGAAACTTCAGAAAAGTATCCTACGAGAGAATGAGACGAATATAGAGTATCAGGAGTAGGATAATTATAAGGTTTATTTTTTTTATAATATTTTTACTAGTTAGAAAGTTATTTTATACTTTATTTGGCATATGTAAATATCATATATTATTCAGTAATAAATTTTATCATTTTTTACTTTCTGTGTAATGTATTCTATCTCAAATAATTAAATAAGGCATGCAGGCAGGCAATATTGTAACTAAGCCGAATCTGTACATTAAATATTTTTTGGAAAATCTTATTGAAATAAACATTATTATCGATACAGAGGCCGAATCTATAGTTTTTAGATTTTTTGTCTGTCTGTCTGTTACCGCATCACGAAAAAACCACTGGAGGGATTTTGATGAAATTTGGTATGGTGATAGCTAGTTATCCGGGTCAACATATAGGATAATTTTGACTGCGGAAAAATATTTCATCTCTGAGAAATCTATACTAAACATTAAAACGTAAGTAGGGACAAACCCGAGCGAAGCTGGGTGAGTCGCTAGTAATACCTATTTCAATAAGATTTTCCAAAAAATATTTAATGTAGAGATTCGACTCAGTCACAATTTTATTATACGTATAGATTTATACACACAGTATAAACAATTGACAGGAAACCTACATGTCTGAGAGAACCTAGCAAGTTTTCGATACTCAATCTGACCGTACTTGGCCAGCATGGACTATTGTCTAATGCTTGTAATAGAGGGACGCCCACCCCCAGCAATGGGACGCCAAACAAAGGGCAGATAATGACAAAATAAACTTACCTGTTACACCATCCCTTCTCCTTCAAAGCCGACAACAAGCTGCCTGGTCCTTCGTGGCCCAGTAAATGAGACAAATAATGACTCGGCTGAAAAAAATCATACATACGACCATATAAATTTAAAAAAAAATAGACACAGATAAGGGATGAGTTGTAATGAAAAAAAATTGAACCCGAAGTTGCGGATATAGACAAAATTATTTATGGAATCGAATTTACATTTTACTGGCTGATCCGACAGACGTCATCTTTTTCATCATCCCCTATTTGAACCATTTAGTTCATCCCCTGTTTAAACCCTTCCGATCATCTCCTTTTTAAACCCTTTAGGGGGTGATTTTACCACGCTTAATCTACAATTTATATTAAGTATGGCATAATAAGATGAAAAAAAGTTTTAAATTAAAAAAAAGTTGATTGCTTTAAAATTAAAAAAAAATAGTTTTAAACAAAAAACTCACCCCACTCTTATAATGTTTCCTGGTATCCGGAATAGGGAAGTCTATGGAGAGGGAACGTAAATCTTTCACCGGATAGCAATAAGCTTGTTTCCTTCTCAAATGGGGGGGAAAGGGGTGGTCGGGCCATGATGGGGGTGTGACAGACCTGTCCTCTACTGATGAAAATAATTTAGTTACCATATCTTCAAGCTCATCTAGGGATTCTGAAAAAAAAAAGTTTAAATGTATGTGTGTAAAAGTTAAGTTATGTCGGTAGCGGTACAGAGTAGATGGGTTATCACTTTTGATCGATATCAAATAGGCATACCCAACTCATATGTTTTTCGTGGGAATGGATATAAGATATTGGTATTGGCTAATTGAAGATTGACTCTTAGATTTTTGAAGATATTCTTCTTTTAGCACGTTTGGAAAAATTATGAGAGTAAAATTTTTACGGTGCACGCGCACACCGACAGCCAAAAAGCGACATGATGAAGTTAGCTAAATTAGCATTCCTTTTACAAACAGAGTTGTGACAGACGGGATAAAATCTTTAGCTATTTTTTTCTGTTCCGCCAAAGAAGTATAACATCTTACGTGCGTACATAAGTACACACACACACACAGTTTTTTTTAATTAATAAATTTTACTGCAATGGATAGCCCCGAATCAATAGCCAAATAACAGTTGAACAAAAAAAATAGATCCCAAAAAGATATGATAGTAATTTTGCTATGTTTCACATCCTTAAGTAGATACCTATTTCAAAAATAAAATAATTACACAGTTTAGGTCAACGCCATCTATAGTCCGTATACAACAATAAAAATATCCCGATTTGTATTCAGCCCTTTTTAAACGTCCCACTGCTGGGGGTGGGAAATAAAAAATAAAAAAAAACTTCATGCAACTTCGAGGACAAAAAATAAACGAAAAAATCGTTTTTTTTAGCTTTTTTTCTATCCCAGAGTGCCGATCATAATCACGCGGAGTTTAGTTTTTTAATGATTACATCAAATTGCCGGTAATTAATTTTTCAGAAGTCAAATACGTTAGTCTCTTTCGTGCTATGTTTGTTATAAAACATTCAAAACGATAGGAACAAAACCGCAAAATAAATCCAAAAACATAAACATTTAAATGGACAAATACATTTTGCGTAAATCTTAGAAAGTTTTAGACGATATACTCGTATGTTCATATTTTTAATAGTTAGGTTAATGTGATAAGTTAGCCCACTGCTGGGTGTGGGCCTCCCTTCAATACGAGGGGGATCAGGCCATAGTCCACCACGCTGGCCGATAGCGGGTTGGTGGACATCCCGAATTAAAGCTGCCCAATATTCTTTTGGTTTTTTTTTGTTTGTTTCTTGTCCAATATTCTTTTATGGGATGGGATTTTATATAGTGTAGTATTAAGTCACCTATGGTATAGATATAACTCACCTTTCCCCATAACAATGAGGGTCATGATATTCGCAGAATACCATTTCTGATGAAACTTTAGCAGTTCCTTTCTTACATCAATCCCTTTCTCCTTCGGTATTCTCTCCAATGTATCTCTGTTACCTGAAAAAATATATGGTTGTATAAATATCGCCGTCTGTTACTTTAGGTCATCTTATGTTTGTTTCGCGTATTCAACGCCATTTTGACATAGCACCTATTACATATATATTTAGGTACTTAGTTTTAAATACTATCTCTAATTTTGACCAACTTTGGAAAAGAAGATGCTAAATTTGGATATAATTCAATATTCACCGCCATTTTGTCATGATTTCAAGAAAAAATTACGCATACTATACATATTTGAATTACATAATTAATTTACATGTTATCCAAGATCCGAGTATGGAACACCGCCAACTTCCTAAGTCCGAGTTGTTACTGAAAATTCCTAAAAACTCAATAACTAAACTTGGTCGACCCGGGACTGGACCTCAGTACCTCTGGAGCCGTACATGCTAACCACTAGACCACCAAGACAACCAATCTATACTAATATTATAAAGAGGTAAAGTTTGTGAGTTTGTGACGTTGTAGGGGGTAATCTCTGCATCTACTGAACCGATTTAAATTAAATTTGATAAGATATTTTGAGACCCTAGGAAGGACATAGGCTACTTTTTATCCCGGAAATCATTCCTTAAGGGGGTGTAAATAGGGATGAAAGTTTGTATGGGGAACAAACCTAGGGCCGAACCCGAGCGAAGCGAGGGTGAGTCGCTAGTATAATATAAGTGTATCATGGCTCCGCCATGTTATCTCCACTAACATGCCATTTTTATTCTAAAAAACTATACAAATAAACAAAGTTGAAGTGTCTGTTTATAATCAAATACCGCAAAGAATTTTATTTATTTTTATTTATTTATTTTTTATTTCATCATTTATTTCAGGCAATAATTCTATAATCACCGCCATTTCGTTTTAAGTGATAAAGTACAATGTAATACATATGTAGTTTATATTTATTGTTAGTTAGGATCTTTAGGTTGGCAACATTTGTGGGAAAGAGATAGTGTATATAAAATTATTTTTGTTTCATCTTAACTGTTCTTTCTGGAAGCTTGTGTCATGTCATATATGAACATCGTGCGATTAAAAATTTATTTTAGAAGTCTAGACTTTGATTTAATCAATTTAAAACGTAACAACAAAAAGGATTGACGTTTACTGTCTACCGTCATTTTGGTTCAAGTAAAAATAGACAAATATTGATATTTATTTTAGGTCTACCATGTTGTCACACACTTACCAGTACCGAACTTGTGGAAGGGATGTTTGGGGTCAGCAGTGCTCTTATTGAGTTGGTCCAGCCTCCAAGTGTCTGATGAAAGATTCTTCTCATGCTCAGAGTTCACAGCACTCAGTTCCCTTCCAGTAGCAGTTTCCGTGAACAATGGAGATATGAAGAACTGAGCAAATCTGTAGCGAGACGTTGAATAAAAATAAAAATAAATCCTTTCAAAATTGAATTAAAAATTTTTATTTTTCAACTTTTAGTGTAGACGTAATAAGCAGGTAATTTGTAAGAAGAAAGTTTTTTAATAACATATTCGATTAAGCATTTTATTAAAAAAATATATTATACCAATTTCGATAAAATTTATATGGGACCACCTAGGAAGTATACACTTTGAAACAAAAAAATAAATTCCAAATCGGTTCAGGCGTTTTGGAGAAATCGGTGAACATACATTAAAAAAAATCCGATGAATTGAGAACCTCCTTCTTGTTGGAAGTCGGTTTAAAAGCGCGCACAAAGATAATACAAGATAATTTACAAAAATTAAATACCCGACTGCGTAAAACGAGCTAAAAAGATGAAAACAAGCTAATGAAGAAACATAGTATTATGCAGTCGGACATACAATATACGTAACAAGACTCGCAGCAATTATAAAACATGTACATATGTGAAACACACGACCCTCCTTTGGGCTTCGCCGCAGTCGGGTAAACAATCTTTCAAAGCCTTAGCCTTAAATTTAACAAATGAGTGTATCTCAACTCTATATCATATGAAAATGGTATTACTTTATCCTTAGACTCAGCTCAGCTTTAACAGCGCTTCCTTTTAAATAAAACTTCCTTCTTAAATTCATCAATAGATGGCGCTGCCAGAAAATGTATACAAAAAGGCAACCTTGGACCAGAAACATTTTGACTGTATTTTAACTTAGTTAACCCATTTGCATGGGAAATATATATATATATATATATATATATATATATATATATATATATATATATATATATATATATATTATATATATATACAAAAGTCCTAAAAACACTTACATATCCAAAGCACCACCAAGATGTTGTGGAAGGACATCGAAGAAGTACATAGTGTGGTCTGAAGAAGTGGACGCGTTAGATGACCCGCCGTGGGCCGACAGGAATTTATTATATTCATTCTCCTGTGAAATTAACAATAAAAAAAATATATAATTCACGCTGAAGTCCGTAGCTGAAGTCTGACCGATTTCGGCCAAGGCGGCCAATATGACTGAAACTAACCAACTGGTTACTGACAAAGATGCAGTGTGTGTGATATAGAGACTGAGAGAAACACACAATGTACACTCTATTCCTGTCACTCTCATACTCCGGTGGGACGACGCGAGACACGACCAGTGAGAGTTAAGGCGCAGTACCGACGGCTTTACGTGCTCTCCGAGGCACAGGGGTGAAACACCGCCAACTTCCCAACTCCAGGCTGTTGACACTTTTTTAACAGAAAAACTCAATAACTAAACTTGGTCCAATCAGGGACTCGAACCCAGGACCTCTGGATGTGCAGCCGTACATGCTATCCAGTAGCCACTACACCACTGAATCAGTTCACACTTCTATTATATATTACTGCATGGCGGACATTATGAAATTCGTCATCTTAGTTTTTTAATATGAAATTTTCAACTTTCTACCTATTACGGTTCATGAGATACAGCCTGATGACAGATGGACGAAAGGACAGCGGATGCTTAGTAATAGGGTCCCGTTGGCACCCTTCGGATACTGAACCCTAAAAAATATATTAAAATTATCTTTACCTCAGGATACTTCTCAGTTCCCAGAAAGAGCATGTGCTCACAAAAATGCGCCAGACCGGGCAGTTCATCTGGATCGCTGAGATAGCCTGAAAAAATACATATATAAATTATTTGACGACACGTTTGGCTCAGTTTGCAGTGGCCAGTGACCCTCATTGCTGTGCCAGCGGTCGCGTGTTCGAGTCCCGCTGGGGGCATTCATTTGTGTGATGAGCACGAATGTTTGTACACTAGACATAGGTGTTTATATTTATAATATTATATACATATTATAAATATAACTTATAATATGTATATAATATATATTTCTGAAATAGATCTCTTCTAGTAAACTTCTGGATGTGGACAATGTCAGCGGGCGATATAGTGCAAGAAATAAATATACAAGAAATAAAAGTAATAATCACATAAACACATAAAATAATAATAATCTACACTAATATTATAATGAGAAAAGATTTTTTGTTTGTTTGTTTGTACCGAATAAGCTCCGAAACTAATGAACCAATATAGATGGACATTTGGTAAGATGATAGTTTGAGACCCTGGGAAGGACATAGGTTAGTTTTTATCTCAGAAATCATTCCTTCGAAAATGGGGATGTAAGTTTGTATGGCGAAGCGAGGGTGAGTCGGTAGTAAAATATATAAAGATAAAAAGTTTGTTTGTCCGCGCTAATCTCTGGATCAACTGATGTGGTTCGATTTGAGAAATTATTTAATTTTAGAGGTTAGGTTATCTAACATCACACTACGACCTACGAAAGCGGAGTGATATAAAATTAAACAAAGCAGAACTAATAAATACTATTTTTTTATTTTTAGATACGCATAAATCCATTAAAATATGAAAAACCTAACGAATTTTAGTACAAAAATGTGTTTAATTATTAAAAATAGGTAAATTGAGGGCAATGTTTTTTTTTTTTAATTATTAATTTTCTTTTAATTGATAAATAATTTATGTAAGTAAATTGAATCAAACTACATATAATTAATAAATAATCAATTAATGTAACACAAATAAATCAATGAATTTTGAAGAACAATCAACCATTTTGTAGACTACAATGTAGATAAAACATCCTAGTAATCTAAATAATAAAGTATCTAACCTCAATACTTTATTAGACTTACGCGAATATTTGACATTTTAAATGAAACTATCTTTTTTGGAGGATTTATTTTAATTTTTGGTTCCCGACGTTACGAATGCTTTACAGCGCACATGGTCACGGGAGATTGTATTTATAAAATCATTTTATAATTTTGTAGGTAGGTACTGTCTGTAACATATATATAATAACCTTTGAGACGTCTAAAACCTTAGTCTCTCCGGTCATCAAATGTGCTATATAAAGCATTCGAAACGTCGGGAACCAAAAATCAAAATAAATCCGAGCAAAAAATCCGAAGAGTTAGTTCCATTTAAAATAACCAACCATATTTAAAACAAAGTGATTTTCTAAATTGCCTCGTTCACTCAAATATATCGAAGTAACAAATATTGAAAATGCTCTTTTGGGTCCTTATTAATGAACTAGCCACAAAGTTTCGCGTCCGTAGATACCTAACAGATAGCCTATGTGTTACTCCAGGTCATAATGCGATGCAATAGCTCATCAACGCAAAGAAATCCTCGGACCAGTTAGGTCACTCCGCAAAGCCTGTGAAGTTCCCAGGAAACTTCTGCGCTTCTGGGCGGAGCGGGGCTGGCTAGGTTAGCCAGGCTTCTGGACGCACAATTTAGAATTTAAGTGCGGAAAAGAGTCCACCCTACATTTACATTTTACTCCAAGTCATAGCCTGTGTACTAAATTTAATCCAAATACGTCCAGCCGTTTCATCGTGATGGAGAAACAAACATGCATACATACAAACTTTAACATTTATATTAGTAATCCTATTGTCACAATGCGGATAGGAAATGCAAAATGGAGCTATAATACATTACTCAAAGAGAAATTTATGATTTTGTCATTTTTTCTTTCTCTCTCTGTCTCTCTCACACTCCTTCAGTCTTAAAAAGAGATAGCGTGAAGAAGAGAAGCTCGTGGGATTTAACTCTTACCAACATTCACATCCAAAGCTGCTGCCGACTTATCAGTTGTTGGGTCGCTAACTAGCAAAACTTTCAGACGGTTTGGTAAATGCAGTCCTCTGTAACAATTTGGTATGAAAGTTAGTATATGTATGTTATTCAGCCCTTATTAACGCCCCACTGCTGGGGGTTAATACGAGGGGGAGCAGGCCATAGTCCACCTCACTAATCAAGTGCGGACTGAGCATGTCTTTCGGAAACTTGCAAGGTTCTCTCAGACATGCAGGTTTCCTAAGAATGCTTTCCTTCAGAGTAAGACAAGTGGTCATTCGTTTTATCTGTATTTGTGTGAGGTGTACAATGAAACTGAGATGCATAAAGAAATTAAACAAGCAAAATATATCTGCTATAAATTACAACAGCAAGTTCCCTACATTTTTTGTTTGCTACTTGAATGTCCTCTATCCAAACATATTAGTTTTACTGTGTACTTTAAATAATATGAAATAAAATTAAAAGGGCGCTGGACTTCTAGCTTCCAGAGAAAAATTTTTGAACTCTTTTTAAAATGTAATAAATAAATCTGTTAGACAGCCATTAAATATTGTACTAAAATCACATACCTATACTCTCTTTTGTCTTCTTGACTTTTGACAATATCATCATATCGTTTAACCACACCAGTACCCTCATCAGCACTTAAGCCAGGATGGATTTCCGTAGGACTTTGTCCACGGTTCGGAGACCGTGGAGCACATTGTGTAACTGTCATACCTGATTGATGACGCCTCTGAATGGATATGAAACTGAAAGGTAAAAGTTATTAGTATATTATAGTGACACTACTATTACCTGTAATGATGCAAATAAGTTTAAATTTAAGACAAAAAGCATTTTATGAAAAAAGTGTAATAATATTTTTTTTAACTTCATCTAATTCATAAATTCCTTATACACATGGCAATGTTTCTTTCAAAATAAATTCAAAAGTGTCAGATTATTCCTTTTTGCACTGATATTCTTTGTTTTTTGTTTTCGACATAAAGTAAAACATAATCAAACCAATCCCACAGGAACCGTACATTTTTCCAGGATAGAAAGTAGCCTATGTCTATTCCAGACTATAATCTACCTCTGTGCAAAATTTCATCCAGATCTGCTCAGCTGTTCTAGCATGAAAGAGTAACAAACATCCATACATACTTTCACATTTATAATATTTATACAGATCTAATTTGTTAGGTTAAAAAACTCACTCCATTTCTTCATTACTTAAAGACTATAACCTGTAATTATGCTCCACCCTGTAACTTTTCTCCTAAGTCCACTTGTTATGTTTATATATAACACAAAATATATAATAAAAAATTGCTTGCAAGTGTTCAAACAACAAGCTTGAGTAAACTAACAGTAATGACAAGTATTCTTAACTTGGCTTTATAAGATCACTTTGTCCATATAAAATACAAATTATCATGGCCATATAAGAAAGAAAATCTCATAAAACATAACTAACAGATTCACTACAATGCTACATGATAGATGTTATAGACATTTTTATAATTATAATAAGTAAACTAAGCTAGTGAAATATTTCTTTTTTAAATTAACATAATAATGTATGTATTTAAGTCAGTATTATATAAATTTGCCAAAAATCATACAACTAACAATATGGGCCCAAACCTTACCTGTTCTATTCAAGCAGAGATAATATTATAACACGAAAATTAGTAAACTAAATAACACTACGAATCGACAACAGTTAACACAGCAGTATTTGAGCACTAAGGTTCTAATATGTTAAGATTATATTGTAAATCAATAATTAAATTCTAACCTATTACAGGTGGATCGGTATGTAGGCGAAAAACTGTGATAGCCAACAAACAATAACCTTCTCGATGCCAGCTTGGATACTTTTAATTAATTTTCAAACTTAAATACCTATTCTTTTAAATTATTGGCAGTAATACGCAATGACGATGAGTTATTGTGTTGTGCTGTTGTGCAATATGACATTGACATTGACAGTTGATAAGAAAGTTTCACTTGACGATAGTAAAAAAATTATAGTTTTCAAGCTGAATGAAAAACGCATTTATTTTTGGGAAATTCATAAGATATCTTCATTATTTTATTGAAATGTAACATAAAAATATATTTCACGTTAAAGTACTTGAAAAATTATTACCTAGTATTTTATTAAAATAATATATAATTGGTTGTAGCGTAATTAAAAGTTGTAATCAATTAATGGAACGTGGATGAAATAATGTAACAATGATGTTGCTATCATAAAAAAAATTAATGGAAAAAATAAAAAAAAATAAGCATAAATTCAGTATGTCGGCTTATATTTCATTAAGATTATTGTATTATTTAGATAGATAAGTCAGAATTTTTTTGAAATATTAATCGAATACCTTGTGAAACACTTAATAGAATGAAATAATTTATTAGAACCAACCAAACACATACCAAGTCGGTATAAAACTGCCTTTGCGTAGGCAAGAGAGTGCAAAATACTTCAAATATAAAAATGGATATTATTATTTACTTTTAGTAATTACCATATATGTTCATAATATGTAATTAAAATATCTTTAATTAGAAAAAAATTGATGATAATATTTACTAGATAATAATAGGTAGTTAAGTATTATATAGGATAGTTATTTTTCAAGCGAAAAAAAATATATAGTTAAAGTCTACGAGTATGTATAACATACAACTGTTGTATTTTTAAACAGAAAAAAATCAAATCAATTCTTTGTTCTGTGGCTTACAGGCAAAAGATCGATGTAAGAAGCTTTTGTTATTTCCAAAAAAACAGTACGAAAATGTATATTAAAAAGTTAGTATCCCTGTTGAAAAACTCCAAAGAATCCCATCAAAAGCCACATAGAAATCAATAAATATTTATTGGTTTCTAAGTGGCTTTTGTCGCTTTTGATGGGATCCTATTGGAGTTTTTAAATAGGGATGAACATTAAATTTATTAAAAAAAAACCATTCTAAATATAAATTTAATTCATTTTATTCAAAACTATAAATAAATATTGGTTAGTCACAAATTCTTTTTCTTTCTTCTTTCTTCTTAATATCTAGTTTGTTATTACATAAATTCAGGTTGCAATCTATTCTCATTAGTATTAAGTTTAAAATCGCTTGGCATATCGTTCCAAGGCTCGAGGGTGTCAATAACGATGACTGGAAGCGTGCTCCACTGAGTATTATCTGCTTTAAAATCGTGGTTTTCGGACAGGAGCTAAAAAATATTGAGAAAATAATTTTGATGTAAAATAAGTTTCTGTACGTAGAGTTAAAAAAATACATCAACTTCAAATCTAGTTTATTTGTTGTTTTTCATCCAAATATCATGACCTGAGAAGTAGGTACAAAGATAGGCTACGGTTGTAAAATACGGTAGTAAAATTTGCCAAAAAGTGGCGCTACCTGTATTTCATATCTATATTATTTATTAATATTATAAAGAGGTAAAATTTGTGAGTTTTTGAGGTTGTAGGGGGTAATCTGTGGATCTACTGAACCGATTTAGATAAAATTTGGTAAGAAGATAGTTTGAGACCCTGGGAAGGACATAGGATACTTTTTATTGAGGAAATCATCCCTTAAGGGGACGAAAATGGAGATGAAAGTATGTATTGGGAAGCAAGCTAGGGACGAGTCTGTCGCTAGTTTTAAATACGCTAGTAGGGCGAAGTCGCTAGTGTGTACTAAATAAAAATTTCCTTTTAAATTACTATTACCAAATAAACATTCATACGTTTACCTTAACATTGTCAGGGCCACGCTTTTTTCTTAAATAATTAAAACAACATGATCGAAAGTATCTCGTGCCGCATGCTGGAGCACACTCACTTCCGCAGGAATTGCACACTCTCGCTGCCCAGATACAGCCTGAAAAAATTGATGTCATTGTGATACGAGAATTAATATCAATTCATTTTGTACTATGTGCATTTATTTCATATCGTATTTAATAAATATAGTACCTTCATAGATTCATTATTAACTATATTTTTTTTCTGTTTTTTCGATTTTAGTTAACATTTTTTTTTCTTAAAACTGTTTTTTGTCGTTTATTTCAAGTGCAACATATATTTTTTTTGCAGAAAACCTGACTGCCGGAATCAACCTTAGCGCTGCCTGGGCATAGTAAAAGATGCCGCCTTATTATCGAAATTTTGCATTAAATGGGTAAAGTTTTGATAAAGTTTTTTTTTATTTCATAAATATTTTTAAATGCAAAAAAATAATTTAATAAATGATTTAAATTTTTTGTAAAATGTACTAGTTATTTTTTTTAATTATTCATTTTTTTTGAAAATAAAAAAATCATTTTCGATAACGCAAAGAAATTTTTTTTTCCCACCCTCCGAATTTTGCCACCCCTAAAAATTTTCCGCCCTGGGCACTAGCTCCGAGTGCCACTAGTGTAAATCCAGCGCTGATTACACCATTAAAATAAAATCTAGAAAATGTCTCAGTCTTTGAAATAACAGAATATTCTAATTACTCTGGGAAAACAAAAACAAACCTATCCCACGGGGACCCTATATTTTTCCGGGATAAAAAGTAGCATATGATATAGTAGCAAACTTTCACATTTATAATATTAGTATAGATTTTCCATCTTAAAATCTTCATGGCGATCACACGCTTCCTAAGATGTGTATATGTAAGTAAAAAATTTTCTACTTTGCAAAAATTGTAAAAATCTGTTTGTTTGTCCTTCTTTTACTCCGAAACGTAGTCATGGATTAAAGTGATTTTTTATGGAGATATTTGGAGGGTTAAAGTGATATAGTAGCCAGTAAGTATACTCTTGTTTACTGGAAACAAACTTAAGTAAAGCAAGTATCCGTGCCTATATAGTGTTAAATATTCTAAATGAAATTCGGTTTTGTGGATTAATTTTGGGTCAAAAATAAAAAACAAAACAGAATCATTTGCATGATGAAAAACAAATATATAGAATTAAAGAAAAATATGACGTAATATATTAACTCCTTTGAATGCACTGAAGTCCAACTCGCACTTGACACATTTTTGTACTTAACGACCCTTACCCATGAATATAGCCAAAATCGCCAAAATCGCTGATATTTTCACCATTTTCAAAATAACAACTTCTCGTCGAAATGATATATACTTTTCTGATGTGAAAGACACAAGTCAGTTGATTTTTATACTAAGCCATATTTACTTAAACCTACGAAGATCGACGAATTTATTTATTTTGTATCGAGTTACCCTTTTACTAGCGTGTATAAATAGTACTTAAAATATAGAAACTGGGACGAACTTTACGAAAAAATGTAATAAAACTTTATCTATAAGAAAGAAATAGTGACGTTCTAGTAAGTTAGTGCTAATTTTATTTTACAGTCTCTTATTTCTCAAGATCCTATTAAGTACGGATAATAAAGTATACCTATACAAATGTCCTTTAAACTTGAATGAAAAATGTTGTCTCGTAGAAATTTGCAACTTTAATAGATTTTTCTACAGAAACTTTTCGTGTTGTTGGGAAACTGCAATAAACATGCAGTCACAGACACATATATTCATAAATTAATATTTAATAAAAATGCGTTTTGGCTATTTCAATAAAATGACATAAATTATACGTATTAATTGTTCATAAATCAATAAAATGATGCAAATCATGGCACATTCTCATCTCTCGCCACATTTCGTTTGGACTCCTATTTAAAATTCAAAATATTTTATTCAGCATTAAATTATTGCAATTTTTTACTGAACGTCATGAGTCTACTACCAGTTCGGAAAGAAGAAGCCTCAGACCTGAGAAGAACTGGCGAAATAAACTCAGCGGGATTATCAGAGCACCTGTATACATAGTAGTATAATCCATCTATATGTAACTAACAAAATAACATCCATCTGTTGCACCAGCGTTGTGTAAATGGAGAAAAAACCACTTAATACACTTTTGTGTTTTTTGTGTTTGTGTGTAAATATACGTGGTCGTGTGTGAGTTCGTGCGTGCTAGAGTGCGTGTGTTTGTGTGTTTGTGTATGCGAGAGTGTGCTTGGTATATGGTATGGTATGGTATAAGACGGGCCAGTTTCCGCAACTCGACGTCTGCGCGCCTATTTTGCGTGTGTGGGAAATTTTCCAAATGTTTATTCTTGCCAGCCCAGTTCCTCCAGGAACTTCAGTAGTCTCTTCGTCCTACCGAAGACCTCCGGGAGTGTACTAGGGGTGCCAAGATGTTGAGCCCGGTACGCCGCTACACCTGGACAATGTAAAATCACATGTGCAGCCGTTTCATCTGCCCTCATGCAGGCTCTGCAGAGAGGGCTGTCAGTTATACCTAAGTTAAATAGGTGTTTGTTATAGGGTCCGGAGAGTGTGCTTAAAAGTATTTAAATTCCTTAATTATTAAATGGAGACCCAATGCCAACTATTTACGTCTTTGAATAGTAGATATTGAAAAGTCTATATCCGCACCTGTCAGTTTGTACGCTATACGCTCAGTACATCCTCTAGTAATACAGACTTAAAAAAACCTTAGTCTTCTGTCTCTCTTGTCTGTCTGTCTCTCAGTCTGTAATACCATCACGTAAAAACCATTGTAGGGATTTTAATGTTTGGTATATAGCTGGTTATCCGGGTCAACATATAGGATACTTTTTACCGTGGGAAAATATCTCATTTCTGAGAAAAAATACAAAAACGGCAATGTAAGAGTATACTAATATGTAAAACCTAAGAATTTGGTTTTTGGTTATCTGAACGCGGGCGGAGCCGCGGGCAATGCTAGTATTATATATAATGCGTGTAATAACTCGTATGCTATTTCTTTAATCCTTCCAGAATTTCCACTATTCGGTCTACTCTAATCTCGGAGAGTGACTTTGGCGGAATGAATTAAAAAACTTAATATTTAATAATAAGTAAAAAATACAGTAACTTTTTTTAAATTCATATTAATTGTATAAAAATATAAACTAAATTTGACAATGCATAGATGGAAATATTTGGAAAAGGAAGTCCGCTTGTATAGGTACATATTTCTGTCGCATTGACGAAAATATCTGCTCATCTCCGTATAAAGCAGGTGGTTAAGAGGCTTTTAAAGGGTATAACCAATATGTTGGAACATTAACACACAGTACCATCTAGTTCCATGGTAAGCTACGAGGCCTGTGTTATGGATACCAGATAGTTGATACACTACCCATATATAACTTTAAATACATACATATTATGAATATAACACCCATGACTGGTTATTTCACGCATTATATATATATATAATATATAAATACAATTACACCGTGCTTCATATTGAAATCAATTTTAGGCTGCTAACTATAAATAAATATGTTCTTAATATTTTCATTCTTATTGTTAGTGGCGATGTACACTTGTAAGTATGAGATTTCTTTTTTTTTTAATCTTAAGGCAAGAGGTAAATTATTTTAGATCTTTCTTTTTGTCATACTCGAATTTAGCATGTATTAATTCAGCTCTTTTTAACGTCCCGCTGTTGGGCAATGGTATTCCCAAGTAGGGTTGACGTCAGACAGGCGTGAGGCGGCCGGTCGTAAAACTTTTGCCAAATCCTATCAGCAGCACAGAAGATGTACTGCGACGACCCCGAGTGATTGGGAAATGGGCAGGGAGAAGTAATCAACATTTAAAAGTCAATAATTCTGTATGAAAATCTCTTTCGGTGAATTGGTCGTTTGGACATTTGTCCAAATATTTTTTGGAAATTCTTATTGAAATAGACATTACCTATTATCGATACAGAGGCCGAATCTGTAGTTTTTAGAATTTTGTCTGTTTGTCTGTCTGTCTGTTACTGAGTTACGTAAAAACCACCTGAGGGATTTTGATGAAATTTGGTGTGGTGATAGCTGGTTATCCGGGTCAACATATACGATACTTTTTACTGCGGGAAAATATTTCATTTCTGAGAAAAAATACAAGAAGTGCAATGTAAGATTATAGTAATATGTTTTTACATATTACTATAGTCCTACATCATACAGCCGCGGGCAATGCTAGTTAATAAATATGAATCAAAGTTTGAAGTACTTAGTCAAATAAAATCTTAGGTTACTAAACAGGCCTCATCAGCCTGGATGTACACTATGCACTCGGGGCTAGTGCTCAGGGGGGCAAATTTTTAGAGGCAGCAAAATTCGGAGAGTGGGAAAAAAATTTTCTTCGCGCTATCGAAAATACTTTTCATATTATAAAAAAAATAAAATAAAAAAAAGATTAACTAGTAGGTACATTTTTCGAAAAATTATTATCATTTATAAATTATTTCTTTGCATTTAAAAAAAAATATAATTAAAAAATTTAAACTGTCAACATTTTATTCAAAATTTCGATAATAGGGTGACACTTTTTACTATGCCCACCGGCGGCGTTAAGTTTAAATCCGGCCCTGAGCCTCATTCATTCGAAAATATGTCCAACCAGTTTTAACAATAATTAGATAATGAATTTGTGGTTTCATAGATTTACTTTCATTTGACTTTGATTGTTTCATTAATAACTAACCATTTATAGCAGTTTGAATACGTCTTCAAGATGCACTTATCTGGTTATATTATGTAAGTTGAAAAACTATATTTTTAATACTTTCTTAGATTTACGCGAATATTTGACATCTATAAAAATTTATGTGTCTGTGTGTAATGTCACAATAATAGCTTTTTACTAAATGCATATGATATTATTTACGGTGCTTATAAGGAAAACACATTTTTTTTTAATTTTGTCTGTCTGTCTGTTTGTTCCGACTAATCGCTGAAACGGCTGGACTGATTTTGACGGGACTTTCACTGGCAGATAGCTGATGTTATAAGGAATAACTTAGGCTGCTTTTATTATAGAAAAAAAAATTAAGGTTCCGCTCAAAAAAATTTAAACGCACCTAAGGACGCGCTCGATCGAAGCGAGGGTAAATCGCTAGTTATAAATAAAAATAAAAGTATGTTTTAACATTTTCTTGCAGTTTTATTTTTTATTTTGGATATATATAGCCCCATTAAGACGGGGGAGGTTCTGTTGGATTTTAGTGGGTAGTACTGGCATTTTAGCCAGTGAGTCCACATAACCACCTGTAAATGCAAAGGTGGTATGAGTAAAAACATATGTATACCTAGACCCAACGTTAAAAAAGAAGAAAAGGCTGAGAGAGACCGGCCTCGGCCTAATCTATCACGAAGACATTTTAATTTTTTAAATTTAAAGCATGAATTATATGTGTAGGTATCTTCGGGTAAAGCCACAGGTTGGGACTACATATTTTATTTGAAATAAAAAAATATAATAATTAATACTTTCTTAGATTTACGCGAATACTTGACATTTTAAATATTTAAAACTATTTTTTCGGTTCTTTTTTATTTATTTTTTTAAATCTCTTTATAATTTAACTATAATTTTGTTTAAAATTTCAGTATTTTTCTCGTAATCTGTGGATTGATGAAGGAAGGTCTGCAATGGGAGCCAGCAAGTGAGTGTTGTTTTTATTTTGTATGTACATATAGCGAACGGAATTTAATTGTTAAAAGATAATGCAATACAGCATCCCCGCCGCACGCGCCGCCCGCCGGCCCGCTATTGCGGACGGGAGGGGTAGTTAGTATGTTCGGGATGCGCAATTTAGACCACGCCGCTCTCTCTTACGCCGTTGTTTTAGATATATACTTATACTAGCAATGTTAAGATGGGTACCGGGTCATGCAGGGGTAATTGGCAACGAGTGTGCTGATAAGCTCGCTAGAGAGGGATCTCTTGGTATGCAGCAGGGCCCTGAGCCCTTCTGCGGAATACCTAAGAGCCTAGCCCAAAGAACCCTAATGATAGCATGTCTCAAGACTGCGAACAAGGCTTGGACTGAATCAAATGGAATGAATCACTCCTAGACATTAATTAGAGCCTACGACAAAAGGTTTAACAATCTTATGCTAGGGCTAAACAGAAAAACCTTACGAATACTGGTAAGGGCTTTTACTGGACACTGCTATTTAAATAAGCACATGTTCAACCTGAGGCTGAGCGAAACGCGAACCTGCAGAATTTGTAGGGAAACAGACGAAACGCCACTTCATCTTCTGTGG